TAAAATACTTTTGAAATGTTATTTTTAAATGTGCAAAACAGGAACTCTTATTTCCATGTGGTTTAATGTTAATGTTATTGTTCTTTATGTTAAAGTAACTTCAGAATAAACTGATTTACCTAAGGTCTTGCTAGAAAACATCTGCATTATTTACTATTTATTTTATATTTCGATATAAATGCCTCCCAATGGAATTCATGCCTGTTATTAGAGCAACACAGCATTTTGACCACTGATGCACTGCAGGGAAAGCATGATCATTCTCTGGCCTTAGATCTCTAGCTTTTACCTTTTTCATAATGTCTTTAAGCCTTGCTTTTGTGATCTAATACACTGCAATAATAATTTTTGGAGCCACAAATTAATTGGATTATAATTCACATGCTTTGCAGTTCATACATTTAGAGCATACAATTTAATATTTTAATATATTCACAGATTTGCACAAGTACCACAATCTAATTTTAGAACATTTCACCACCCGCAAAAGTAGTCCAACACACTTTAGCAGTCACCTCCCAACCCTTTCAGCCTGAGGCAACCACTAACCTACTTTCTTCCTTCCCTTTTTTTTTTTAAATCCTCACCCGAGGATACTTTTCCATTTTTGTTCAGATAGAGTGGGTGGGAGAGAGAGGAAGAGAGGGAGTGAGAGAAACATCAATGTGAGAGAGATTGACTGGTTGCCTTCCGCACAACCCCAAGGAGGGCCAGGGACAAACCACAACTGAGGTGCATGCCATTGACCGGAATCAAAGCTGCAACTCATTGGTCCGAGGGCTGATGCTCTAACCACTCAGCCAAACCAGCAGGGGCCACTAATCTACTTTCTATCTCCATATATTTACCTATTATGGATATTTCATATCAAAATATCATACAATATGCAATCTTTCATGACTGGCTTTTTTACTTAGCATATTTTCAAGTTTCATCCATGTTATAGCTTGTATCAGTACTTCACTCCTTGTATGGCCAAATAAATTTCCATATATGAATATACCACATTTTATTTATCAGGTCATCAGTTGACAAACATTTGGGTTATTTTCACTTTTTAGCTATTATGAGTAATGCTGCTATGCACATTCATGTACAAGTTTTTATGTAGCTCTATTTTCTCGTTTCTTTTGGGTATTTATTTTAAAATAATTTTAGATTTGTTTTGTTTGTTTGTTTGTTTTTTGTGGTATGTGCCCCTAGCGGAACCGAACCTGGGACTCTCTGGTCCGCAGGCCAACTCTCAACCACTGAGCCAAACCAGCCAGGGCTCTTTTGGGTATTATCTAGGTGTGGAATTGGGTCATATATTTAATATTTTGAGGAACTGAATCTGCGATATTTGAATGTATATAGAATAGATGTTTTAAATTAGCATCTAGAATCGTACTCTGAGTTCTAGATGCCTTGGTTGGCTTAGTTCTGACTTGTAGAGGAGTCCTGTCAAACACTTTTGGGTGGGTGATGAGAACAATAGCCAGTATAAGCCCTATGGCATTGTGTGGATTTGAAAAGAGGCTCTGAGTTAATTCTGGGGACTCTGCCAGGTTTTCAGTAGTTAATGGAAAAAGTAATTGGATATGTGACTTACCTAAAAGAATTCATCTACTTAGGTGATGTCTTTGTTTTTAACTTCTCAAAGTGCTAGACTTTGGTCAGGCTTAATGTTGTTACTTGATAAGTGCTGTTTCCACGAATAATTCATGAAGTACACTGACCATATATTGTTTCAGCTACAGTGAGCAGTGATCCTACATATCCAAAATAAAATATCAAATACACCCAATCCATGCAGTTAAATCTGACTTTGGTGCTTTCTGCTTGTGGCCCACTCCAAAATGCTGGCTCTTTCCTTACAGGGCCTTTTGGTGGGTCCCTCAATGACTGCTCACAGTGCGGGGGACCTCTCTCTGTTTCATTTCCTAACAGTGGGGTGGGGGGGGGAGTCTGTGGCTAACCACTTAGATGGTCCACTTAGCTTCGGGTTTGGAAATACAACCTTTTAAGATAATTTAAGCCTGGCTAACTTCATTGGCATTTATATGGCCCACAGGAAAAGTTTTCTTGCAAAATTGCAAGTACACACCACTTCCGCAACCCTCTCTCTCTGCTCTGCCATCAAAGGCCTCTTTGGAAAGTCTATTTATTGACTTTAGACTTTTCCAGGTGACATAAACTGACGGGCACAGAGGTCAAGTTGTCTGAGTTCCTTAAGGCTCCTTTGCTTGACTTGCGGTGGGGGTAGGATGGGATAAGCACTCTGTTCTCCCCACTCTTGGGGAAGAGGAAGGAAAATGCACAGCACTCCTGAAAACTACCACCTGGGCATTTTCATTCTCCACTCTTTCTTTTTAAATTTTTTTTTCTTTATTGACTTTAGAGAGAGAGAGAGATAGAAACATCAATGAGAGAGAACATTGATCGGCCGCCTCCTGCATGCCCCCCTCACTGGGGATTGGGCCCACAACCTGGGCATGTGTCCTGACCTGGAATCGAACAGGTGACACCCCCACCCCACCCCCGTGCATGGCTCTACACTCAACCCCTGAGCCACACCGGCCGGGCATTCTCCAGTCTTTTTTGACCTGTTCTTCCATTTAATTCCCTGGAAGTACATGAGGACGGAGGATTGTTAAATGGGCTTTATGTTCTCTTAGCATATCCTGTGAACTGGTCTAGCATCCTTTTTCAGAATGCCAGAGGCACTTGGCATCTATTTTTCTTAACTATGGAGCTTCTGCCAAAGACATAAAAAAGTCCCACTTAAAATGCCATTTATCTTAGAAGTATTTGCCAGAATTGTTCTAAATTTTTAACCATTTTTTTGGAATCATGGAATCCTTTGACATTCTGGTAAAGCCTGTGGACTCCTTTCTCAAAGTAATGTTTCTATGTGTATAAAACAAAATACTGTATATAGGATTACAAAGGAAACCAATTATTTGGAAATAGAGTTTTATTCTCGGAGTCTATGGAGACACAAGTAATCCAAGTTAAAAACTTACATAATAATCTACATTCTTTACAATTATCATTACATTTATCTTCCCAACACTTCTACAAGGAAACTGGGGCATAATGAGGCTAAGTGCCTTGCCTAAGACCACATAAGTGACAGAGAAAGAATTCACATTTTGACATTGTCCACCTGTGGCTGCATCCATGTGGAATACCCTATCCTATGGTTGAAGCCACTATTTGCTTGGTTTTCTTTCTTTCTTTTTTTTTTTTATCCTCACCCAAGGACATTTTTCGATATTTTGTTCAGATAGAGTGGGAGGGGGAGAGAGAGAGAGAAACATCGATGTGAAAGGGACACATTGAGTGGTTGCCACCCACACAACCCAACCAGGGCTGGAGACAAATGCAACCAAGGTACATGCCGTTGGTGGGAACTGAACCCAGGTCTCTCCGGACCACAGGCCAACGCTCTAACCGCTGAGCCAAACTGGCCAGGGCTGCTTGGTTTTCTTTTGTTTGTAGCTAACAAGATCCTGATATACCCACCAATGATTAAGATTGAGTATTCTGGCAACCCAGGAGAATGGAGGCTTGGAGCAAATTACATTGATTTAAAAAATAAATAAAATATGGCACTTCTTATTCTCCTATTAGAGTAAAAGTGGTACCCAGTGTTACATCTCTCTCATGTTTGCTGTGGAATTAAAGGGGATAATGTTCTTAGAAAGGTCGCATTAAGTGGTAGTGATCATTATTACTGCTTTTCCCATTAGATGGAATGTTTGGAAGTTGTGGGAAACAGGGAGGAGGCAGAAGAGAGGAGATGGGAGAATAAACAAAAATAGCTGTACAGATTCCAGGTTCTTCAACTGTCAACAGAACATTTACTTTATAAATTTAAAATATTTCCACATAGAACTCAGTTTGTGCATTTTTACTTATTATTTATCTAGTAACATCACACATTACTATTGCCATTCTCCCTATTTTCCATTTTGAAAACTAACAGAAAGAATTGTTCATTATAGTTCCTTAGATAGGAATAGTAACATTTGCTCTCATGTTTTAACTATCTTTATAAAATTACTTTGGCCTTTCACCACAGTATTTTTATTTATTAAAAAGATTTTTTTTCTTTATTGATTTTAGAGAGAGAGGAAGGGAGAGGGAGAGATAGAAACATCATTGAGAGAGGACATCGGCTACCTCCTGCATGCCCCCCACTGGGGATCAGGCCCACAACCTGGGCATGTGTCCTGACCTGGAATCCAACTGGCGACCTCTTGGTGCATGGGCCAGCGCTCAGCCACTGAGTCACACAGGGCGGAGCTCACCACAATATTTTTAAACTGGCAGTTCTGATGGTTTGGGCTTGGGACTGCACATAGAAACAGCATCTGGGTTTGTTGTCCTACCCCCTACAGTTTACTGTATATTAAACAGTGCCTCAGAGCAGTGAGCACCCTGCCCAACCCCTCATAGCTGGCCATATTCCCATTATTTGGTAGCCTAATTCAGTATGAAATGTGGAGAAAAGCTAAAGAGTAATTTAAATCAATAACTTCATTATAATATAGGGTTGGAATGTCTCTGAATATTCATTCGTTTAGGGGTCAAGGGGCCATAGTAGTACAAGTTCTTAGTCTGTAATCTATGGATTGGTTTCTGGCATCTGAACCTTATATATATAATTTTTTCTTTTAATACTGTATAAGGATGTGTCTATGTACAATTTTCTGAGGGAGAAGCCCCATATTTTTCACCAGATTATCAGAATGATCCTAGATCCCACAAAAGGTTATGAACAATACATACGAGTTCTTGACAGCATTTTAAAGGGATGCAATTCTTCTCATCTAGTTTCTACATTGACCTGGCAAGGGCACGGGTGGGGATTGGCCTCACCGAAATAAAAATGGCAGGAGCTGCTTCACACGCAGCCCCTCACGCGGAAAGGCTAGCCGGCCCCCGCCACAGTCTCTCCACCTTCCCACTCCTGACCCCGGAAGGACTCCGCCCTCGTGGCCAAGCTGCGGCTGCTCGGCTCCCGGCTGCAGCGGGGAAGCAGGCGTGGGCCGGCGGCACCTGCCTGCAGCGCCAGGTACGCGGGGCGGGGGAGGGGGTCGCGACGCCCGCGGGACAGGGGCGGCGGGCGGGGCGGGGTGGGGGCGGGGTCTGCTCGCGGTTCTCGGCCCTGCGGTTCCGTGAGCGCGCCGGAGCAGCGGAAAGCCGGAGGACTCCCGGCACCAGCGGGAGGCCCGCAAGCGGAGCGCTGAATCAGGATGAGCTCGCCACCGCTCCGACCCCAAGTGAGGGTCTGGGCGGCAGAGCCGGGGGCGAGCTCCTCCTTTGATCCTCTCGGTAAAGGAAAAGGGAGACTGCAAAGGACAGCTCGGTGGGTGGTCAGGAGTCCTGCCCGAGGTGGGGCAGCTGGCGTGGTCCAAGTTTCTGCCTGAATGCCGGTGATTTGAGCAGGGAGCGGTTTGGGATCGGGAAGATTACGCTTTCCAAGAAGATGCTTTAGCATCAGGATTGTCGTGTCGGAGCCCTTCTGTAAATAAAGTTGTTCGATTATTTTCTGGAGGATAACTCTTACAAGATCTTGCACTTGCGCAGACCTTTATCATTATTTTAATTTTATCATTATTGCAAGTAAGCATTTTTTGCTGTTTATCTTCTCAGAGTTAGGTTGTACAGATTTATGCTTCAGGTCCAAATTTGGGGGGTATTTCAGACTTTCATTCTGGCTTTGATTATAAATTCAAGCTGTAAAATAGAATTTTAGGGTGTTTAAGAAGCAAACTCTACTTATGACACTTTTTTTTTTTTTTTTTTTAACTCTCCAGTCGTTAGAATGGAGACAAACGAGCAATATTACGTAGTACAATATTTTTGGTGATGTTTTTAGACCCTGTCTACAAATGTGAATAGTCATGAAACTGCCTTCATGTTTATTTTAATTAATACATATGAAAGCAACTGAAGTGACTGGTTTTTAACAGTTGTTCAGTTATTAATGGTTAAATTTGGAATCACTTCCCCAGTGAGTTTAAATGAAAGGTAATGAGGTAGTTAGAATGCAAAACTACAGATTTGTCAGAATTCAGGTAAGAAAACCCTTGCAGCAAATTGGAGTGTTTATTTGCTTTCCCCTCTGCTTAAAAATGTGGAATCCCCTATTATGGAAAAAATCACTCGGGGTGAATTACTCTCGGTATTTTTTCTTTTTAATGCTGTAGCATAGATGGCTTAATGATCTAGTGTCCATTTAATTACTAAACACTTTTCCCAAAAAGAAGTCAGTTGTGGGGGTGGGGTTGAATAAATGTGCTTTTTTTTCTTTCTTTTTAGTGTAGCATTTGAAAAAACTAATGCATGCAGGGCATTTTTGTTAAAAATCAAGTAGTAGAGGACTTACAGGGAAAAGTAGTGGTTCCCTGCCCACCCTTCCAAAACCCCTAGCCTCATTACCCTGAGGACCATTTTCCACTTGTTTAACTGTTTTGATATGGTTTCCCTTGTATTTCTCTTTAATGTCTATGTCACAGGTTTGTTTGATTTTTTTTTTTTTTTTTGGTTTGGATAAATATACTGTACTTGAGTTAGAACTAATTATACTGAGCCTAAACATTGTAATTGAATATGCTTGAGGGTGAATTAAATTTACATTGTGTCACTAATAGGGAAGAGGGTAAGTATTAGTAGTAGCAGTAACCCACCCTAAAAGTATTACTGTGTTTGATATGAAACGAAACTACTTCATCAGTGGTTTTTATACTTGTCCCAAAAAGGGCGTGTGGGGGGGTAATTAACAGAAGGAAATACTCTGCTGCAGTCCAGAAAAATAGAGCAGAGAAAATAATATGCAGAAATGTAAGACTTATAGAAAGTATAGCAAATAAAGTTTTATTTTATTTATTTATTTTATCCTCACCTGAGGACTTTTTTTGTTTGTTTGTTTGTTTGTTTTTTATCCTCACCTGAGGATATTTTTCCATTTTTTGTACAGATAGAGTGGGAGGGAGAGAGAGGAAGGAGAGAGAGAAACATCGACGTGAAGGGACACATCGAGTGGCTGCCACCCGCACGACCAACCAGGGCCGGGGAAAAACTGCAACCGAGGTACGTGCCCTTAGCGGGAACCGAACCCGGGTCTCTCCGGACCGCAGGCCGACGCTCTAACCGCTGAGCCAAACTGGCCAGGGCTGAGGCCTTTTTTTTTGCATTTATCTTCAGATAGAGCAGGAGGGAGAGAGGGAGGAAGAAGGAGAGAGACACATTGACTGGTTGCCACCCACACCACCCCAACCAAGGCCGGGGACAAACTGCAACTGAGATACATGCCCTTAGTGGGAACCGAACCCGAGACTCTCTGGTCCACAGGCCGACACTCTAACCGCTGAGCCAAACTGGTCAGGGTTATTTTATTTTATTCTTATCCTTACCTGAGGACATTTTTTTTTTTTTTTTCATTTATCTTCAGATAGAGCGGGAGGAAGAGAGAGAAAGAGAGACTGGTTGCCACTCACATGACCCCAACTGGGGCTGGGGACAGACTGCAACTGAGGTACGTGCCCTTGGCAGGAACCGAACCCGGGACTCTCTGGTCCACGGGCCGATGCTCTAACCGCTGAGCCAAAGCAGCCAGGGGGCAAATAAAGTTCAATAGAGGGATTGTTGGTCATTCGTTTTTCTCTTTGGTAATATTTATATAGCACTATCCAAGGAAAATAAATATTAAATTTAGTAGGCATAAACATACTGGAGAAGCCTATATTCTGTTGCACCAGAGATAGTTCTCAGGCTTTTTCTTGGCCTGCAAGACCCATTAAATTTGTACTTACCAGAAAGCCTTTATGACTTATTATTAATTCAGCTCCCTATAGTCTTTTATTTCAGAGAGGGTATGTTTTTATTTATTTATTTTTATTTTTGTTACAGATGGTTCTCCTTTTTCCTCCATTTATACCCTCCTCCCAGTCCCCCCACCCCAGCACTGTTGTCTGTGTCCATGGTTACACATACATGCATATAAGTTGTGTAGTTTAAGAGAGGGTTATTATTATTATTTTTTTTTATCTTTATTATTGAATGTATTACAGATGTTCCTCATTTTTCCCCCATTGACCCCTTCCTCCCCACTCCCGCCCCCTTCTGCCTTTTCCCACACTGTTGTCTGTGTCCATTGGTTACATATAAGTTTTTTTATTTATTTCTTCCCACCCCAACAGGCCCTTCCCTTTCAGGTTTGTCAGTCTAACAGTTTGTACTTCTTGATACCTTCACCTTTTTCACCCCTTTCCCCAACCTCCATCCCATCTGGCAACCAACAAAATGTTCTCTGTATCTATGAGAATGTTTCTGTTCTGCCTGTTCATTTTGATTGTAGATTCCATTGTCGATAGATATGTATTCATTGCCTTTTTGTTCATATATTTTATCTTTTTCTTCAAAAAGACCCTTCAACATTTCATATAATAATGGTTTGGTGGTGATGAACTCCTTTAACTTTTTCTTGTCTGGGAAAGTCTTTATATGGCCATCGATTCTAAATGACAGCTTTGTGGGATACAGTAATCTTGGTTGTAGATTCTTGCTTTTCATCACTCTGAATATTTATTGTCACTCCCTTCTGGCATGCAAAGTTTCTTTTGAGAAATCAGCTGACAGCCTAATGGGAACTCCCTTGTAGGTAACTAGCTGCCTTTCTCTTGCTGCTTTTAAGATTCTCTCTTTGTCTTGAACATTTTGGATTTTGATGATGATGTGTCTTGGTGTGGGCCTCTTGGGGTTCATCTTGTTTGGGACTCTCTGTGCTTCCTGGACTTGTATATCTGTTTCCTTCACCAAGTTAGGGAAGTTTCCTGCGATTATTGTTTCAAACAGACTTTCCATTTCTTGTTCTTTCTCTTCTCCTGGCATCCCCAAGATGCGAATGTTGGCACACTTGAAGTTGTCCCAGAGGCTCCTTATACTATCCTCAGTTTTTTCAATTCTGTTTTCTTTTTGCTGTTCTGATTGGGTGTTTTTTGCTTCCTTAGATTCCAAATCGATGATTTGCTTCTTGGTTTTACCTACTCTACTATTCAATCTGTGTAAGTTATTTGTTATTTCAGTTAGTGTCTCCTTCATTTCTGACTGTGCCTCTTTCATTTCTGACTGGTCCTTTTTTATGCTCTTGAGGCCCTCACTAAGTTCGCTGAGGTTCTCACTAAGTTCATTGAGCATCCTTATAAACAGTATTTTGAACTCAGCATCTGTTAGGTTGTTTATCTCCATGTTGCTTAGTTCTTTTCCTGGGGTTTTCTTCTGTTCTTTCATTTGTGATCTCTTTCTTTGTCTCCTCATTTTGGCCGCCTCCCTGTGTTTGTTTCTATGTGTTACTTAATGAGAGGTATGAGGCTATCTGAGACCAGATGCTGCTTGTTTGAAAGAATTTAGGAAAACCTGAAGTAGGATCCAAGACAGGCCAATCCTATGGTAAAGCAACTGGCAACAGCTTGGGTGGGCCTGAAAATTGGGTGGGGTGGGCCTGAAAATTGGGTGGGGTGGGGCGGGGCGGGGCCTCAGGGAGTCACCAGGGCAGGGCTACCAGTGTGAGCCAGGTTGCTGGAGTCCCAGATTTGACCACTGTCTGCCACTCCAGGGAAGGGCTCACCAAAGGAACAAAGGCCTCTGACAACATGTGTGTTCCGGAGAAAGCCCCGTCTCCAGCCCTCGCTCCAGTGCCAAACAGCTCAGTTCTTCCCTGTATGTTTCTGGTGCCCCTCGAGCTGCCTCCCCTCCAAGCTTAGAGGAAGTGAGTCTGATAATTGCGTGTGCGGGCCCTTTAAGAGGAGCTGCCTGGGGCTCCAGCCGCCTCAGCCTCCCTGAGCCTCAGTTCCTGCTGGTTTTTCCAGCCAGAAGTTATGGGGACTTCTCTCCCTGGCACTGGAACCCTGAGCGGGGCGCCTGGTGTGGGACGGGGACCCCTCAGTCCTCAGGAAGGACCTTCCCAGCTGAGGTGTCCTCCTGATTTTTATCCGCCACACGTGGGTGTGGGACCAGCCCTTCCGCCTCCGCCCCTCCTACCAGTCTCAATGTGGCTGCTGCTTTAATTTCATAGTTGTAGGACTTCCATTCAACTTGATTTCAGGTGCTTTTGAATGATGGTTGTTCAGTAGTTTAGTTGTAACTTTGATGTGGTTGTGGGAGGACTCCCTACGCCACCATCTTGACCAGAAGTGTCGAGAGGGTATGTTTTGATAGCGTAAGTCTTCCTTCACTAGATAGTATATTTCCTTACTGTAAATGAATAAATTTATAAACTAATTTATACAGCAATACTGTGTGAATTTGTTTAATATGTGTCTGGCTTGGTACACTGATAAAATTGGGTTTCTAGTGCTACAAAGCCTAGACCCAGACCCTGAACCATTATGTTTCAGTCAAGGTTCTGCCACCTTTAAGGAAGGGTCTCCCTGAGTCCTGGCCTACTTGGCTCAGCGGTTAGAACGTCGGCCTGTGGACCAGAGAGTATCGGTTCAGTTCCCACTAGGGGCACATACCAAAGGAAAAAAAAAAAAAAAAGCTAAGGGTCTCCCTGAGTGACAGCTGCCTCATCTGTAGACATCTGACTTTCTTTGGTTTCTGTAGAAATAGGCATTAAAACAATATCTAAATTTTATAGCATGTATATGATACCTTTTTAAAGATCTTTAAAATAGGACAATAAATGAATGAGTTCTGAAGTTCAGTGAACTTTGAGGTTCCCTTCTAGCTCCAGGAATGATGATGCCAATCAAATTCCTTTCATTACCCACCCCCACTGTTATTTGAAGGAGATAAGTGAGAAGAAACAGATTTTAAAGTATTATGTAAAAGTTGAGATGTTTATTCAACTGGGAAAGGCAGACTCTAGAACCTGCAGTTTTCCAAGGAAAATTTACTACCTGAACTCAAAGTTCAAATCTCATTCATTTACTTTTTGGCTGCTTTGGTGATTAATAAGTAAACATTTAACTCAAGTAATTTGGCTCAGAATGTTATTTTCTTCAGGTAAATGTAATATCATGAATTATTAACTGCAATAAAAAGCTGATAGAGTTAAAATTTTAATTTGGTAGAGTAACCAGAAATATTTGTGGTTAATATATTTTTATGTTTCATTTAAGAAGATTAGAAGAGGCGTCATGTCAGAAGAAACAGTAAGCGAATCACAGTTTTCCTTGAAGACGGTAGCACGAAGAGTGTTTGATCGTCCTCTGTCTTGGTACTCTTCTCTCTCCCAGGTAAGAAATTGTGCAGCTAACATGAATTGAATAATAAGTTTATTGCTCAGGGCATATTTTGTTTACAGTGTTTAAAATTTAAAAAAATATATTTTTAATGATTTTTTTTAGAGAGAGAGGAAGGGAGAGAGAGATAGAAATATCAATGTGAGAGAGAAACATGCATCAGCTGCCTCCTGCATGCCCCCTACAAGGGATCAAGCCTGCAACCTGGGCATGTGTCCTCACCAGGAATTGACCGGGTCCTCTCAGTCCATGGGACAATGCTCAATCCACTGAGTCACACTGGCTGGACAACAGTGTTTAAATTTTAATTGAGGTTTTAAATGGTTCAGTCAAAATGTTTGTTAAAGTAGTTTAAAACTTACTTGGCTTTATTTTGTGTTTTTTTTGTTGTTGTTGTTATATTCATAACTCTTAAAAGGGATCGTAACTTTTAAATAATCTTCCTACCTTGCCCTGGCTGGGTGGCTCAGTTGGTTGGAACATGATCCTGTATACCACAAAGGTTGCAGGTTTGATTCCCTGTCAAGGCACATACCTAAGTTGTGGGTTTGATCCCTGGCTGGGTTGTGTATGGGAGGCAACTAATTGATGTTTCTCTCTCTACCACACCCCCTCGCTCAGAAATCAATGAACATCTCCTCCGGTGAGGATTAAAAAAAAAGCCCTGGCCAGTTTGGCTTAGCAGTTAGAGCGTCAGCCTGCGGTCCAGAGAGACCCGGGTTCGGTTCCTGCTAAGGGCATGTACCTCGGTTGCAGTTTGTCCCGGCCCTGGTTGGTTGTGCGGGTGGCAGCCACTTGATGTCTCCCTTTTATGTCGAGATAGTTTCTCTCTCTCTCTCTCTCTCTCTCTCTCTCTCTCTCTCTCTCTCTCTCTCTCTCTCTCTCCCTGCCTCCCTCCCACTCTATCTGAACAAAAAATGGAAAAATGTCCTTGGGTGAGGATAAAAAAAAAAATCTTTCTACCTTAAGTGAATATACACAGTCCATTACAGTTATTTTCAGTGAATTGTTATTCGAATTGACCTTTTTCACTATTTAAAAAAAATTTTTTTTTCTTTATTGATTTGAGAGAGAGAGGAAAGGAGAGGGAGAAAGAGATACAAACACCGATGAGAAAGAACATCAACCAGCCGCCTCCTGCATGCCCCCCACTGGGGTTTTGGAACCTGGGCATGTGACCTAATTGAACCAGTGACCTCTTGGTGCATGGGTCGATGCTCAACCACTGAGCCACATTGGCCGGGCTTTTTTCACTATTGTTTAAAAATATTTATATACTGATTTGAGAGAGAGAGAGGAAGAAAGAGAGAGAGAGAGAGAGAGAGAGAGAGAGAGAACAATTTTGTTGTTCACTTATTTATGCATTCATTGGTTGGTTCTTGTTTGTGCTCTGACTGGGGATCGAACCCATAGGATGACACTGTAACCAACTGAGCTACCCAGCCAGGGCCTCACTATTATAATCTTTTAATTTTAATTTTATTTTATTGTGGTAAAGTGTACATAATGCAAAATTTATCATTTTAACCACTTTTAAATGTGTGATTCAGGAGCGTTAGGTGCATTCACATTGTTGTGCGAGGCATCTCCAGAATGCTTTCATCTTCTAAAACCGAAACCTACACCCATCACACAGCCACTCTCCTCTCCTCATCCCATTAGCCCCTGAAACCACTACTCGACTTTGTTTCTAAGAATTTGGTACTTCATAAGCGGAATTACACAGTATTTGTCTTTTTGTGACTGGTTTATTTTACCCAGCATAAAGACCTCAAGGGCCCTGGCCAATTTGGCTCAGCGGCTGGAGCGTCGGCCTGCGGTACAGAGAGACCTAGGTTTGGTTCCCGCTAAGGGCACGTACCTCGGTTGCAATTTGTCCCCGGCCCTGGTTGGTCGTGCGGGTGGCAGCCACTTGATGTGTCCCTTCACATCGATGTTTCTCTCTCTCTCTCTCTCTTCCTCTCCCTCCCGCTCTATCTGAACAAAAAATAGAAAAATGTCCTCGGGTGAGGATTAAAAAAAAAAAAAAGACCTCAAGGTTTATTCACATTCAGGTTTATTCACATTCACATGTGTCAGATTTTTCTTCTTTTTCCAGGTTGAATGACATTTGATTATATGTATATACCATATTTTGTTTATTTATTCATCTTATCGCTGGACATTTGGGTTGCTTCTACATGGTTCAAAAATTAAAACCACACACATACATATTCACATATGGAGATATTTTACTCTATCTCAATCCCCTCTACTTAATACTTTCAGGGTTTCTTTATTCAAATATCAGCAAAAGCAATTGTATGTTCTTATTTTCTTCTTTTCCTTATAGAAGGTAGCATATTGTAGCTTACCTGTGTTCTTGTTTTTTTGTTCTTATTTCCTGGATAGTTTTTCATATTAACCTATGTAGGTCTTTTTCTTTTTTTTTTTTTTTTATTATTATAGCTACATAATGTCTCTATACATGGGAATTTGGGTTGTGTCTGATTTTATGCCGTTACAAACAGTGTAGTAGTGAATACGTGAATAAGCTTGATATACTTCAATTCTTACAGGTATAGATACAGGAAAAAGTTTTAGAACAAAGAGCATATATGTATTTGAATTTTGATAGATATTACCAAATTACCCTCCACAGGGCACTGTTTTGTACTCCCCAAATTTTGAAATTTTTGCCAACTGATAGGTGAGAATGGTATTTCACCATGGTTTTAATTTTTATTTTTGTTATATGTTAGGTTGAGCATTTTCTCATAGATTTTTTTGTTTGTTTGTTTTGTTTTTTTCCTCACCTGAGGACATTTTTCCATTTTTTGCACAGATAGAGTGGGTGGGAGAGAGAGGAAGAGAGAGAGAGAGGGAAACATCGATGTGAAAGGGACACATCGAGTGGCTGCCACCCGCACGACCAACCAGGGCCGGGGACAAACTGCAACCGAGGTACATGCCCTTAGCAGGAACCGAACCCAGGTCTCTCCGGACCGCAGGCGGATGCTCTACCCGCTGAGCCAAACCGGCCAGGGCCATTTTCTCATAGATTTAAGAGCAATTTGTATTCATTTTGAACATTTTGAAGGTTTTTTTTGTTTTTAAAGATTGGTAAATTACTTTTGAGATTGGCTATACCAGCCCACAATCTCACTAGTATACTTGACAATGTCTATTTTTTCACAGTCTAGATATAAAAAAAAAAACTTTATTAACATTTTATATGTATTTTTTATGAATTATTTTTGTATCCTTTGCCATACTGATTCTACTATACCACTTGCTTTTTAATCCTAAGAATAAATTTCTGAGGCCAGGACTATTGCCCAACTTGTTCCATGGAATATTTTTTAAAAATGATATAAAGGATCATTGCAGGTAAACTTGAAGATCCATTCTTTACTCTCAGTCATGGTACATAGTATCCAAAACTTATTCCATGGTGTAGAACACACTAAGTGGGTCACCAAACTACAGCCTAGGGGCCTAATCAAGGCTACCACCCATTTTTGTAAGTAAAGTATTATTGGTACACAGCCATGCTCATTTGTTACGTATTATCTGTGATTGCTTTTGCATTGCAACAGCAGAGTTAAGTGGTTGCAGTAGAGACCGTATGTTCCACAAGTCTAAAATATTTACTACCTGACATTTACCGAAAAATTTTTTTGACCTCTGTACTAAGAGAGCAGGCTATAGTTTGAATACCATCAAAGGACCAAGAAAGGACCAGGAAAAAGGTCAGAGTTCTTGATTGAACAGTCAGTAGTGTTAGAATTGGACTGACTTTGTATGAAAAACACAAACATGAGGTTTCCTGGCTGGTGTGGTGCAGTGGATTGAGCATTGTCCCATGCACCAAGAGGTTGCCAGTTGGATTCTCAGTCACGGCACATGCCTGGGTTGTGGGCTCGATCCCCAGTAGGGGATGTGCAGGAGGCAGCCTATGGATGTATCTCTCTCACATCAATGTTTCTTTCTCTTTCTCCCTCTCCCTTCTTCTCTCTCTAAAAATCAATAAAAATATATTTTTTTAAAAAAAAGCATGAGATTTTTGTTGTTGTTGTTTATTTGTTCAGTCTCAAAAAATAAATAATCCATGTTGGATGTGATTCATTTATATAATTAATTATAATATAATTATTATATAATATAATAATAGGGAAATGTCATTGTGACTAAAGTAATTTCAACACATGATACATAACCATGAATTTAAACACATATGATGTATTTTGATTAATTTCCAACACTGGAATTGTGTGATAAGTAACTTAACCTCTTTATTTTTTTGTTATTATTTTTTAAATCATCACCCAAGGATATTTTTCTATTTATTTTCAGATCAAGTGGGAGGGAGGGAGAGCGACAGAGAGAAAAAGACAGAGAGAGGGGGAAAGGAACATCGACGTGAGAGGGACATTGACTGGTTGCCTCCCGCATGACCCTGACCAGGTTGAAGGCAAACCACAACCGAGGTACATGCCCTTGACTAGAATTCAACCCACGACTCTGGTCCGCAGGCCGATGCTCTAACCGCTGAGCCAAACCGGCCAGGGCACTTAACCTCTTTGGAACAAATTTTTATCATCTACATAGCACACAGTAACAATGACTGAGCACCCCAATAAGTGTTAATTCCTATTTTACTTCCCTGTGTTATTTATTTGAGGAATAATACATTTTCCAAGTATTTTTTCTTGCATTTAATGAATACATGCTCTAAACAAAATACTTAATTCTCTTTAGCTTCTGTGGTTTCCTTAAGGGTTGTTTTGGTAAATTACAATATATCATGTTAATACAAATAAACTGTTTTTCAGTTGGAAATCACCACATGAAGGGGTAAGTAGTTTAGTTGATTGCCCAAATTCAGAGTGTTGAGTGGGAGAGACTAAGAATTAAGCAAGCACTTACAAATCTGTCTAAATGCAGTGTGGTATCCTGAATTGGTCCTGGAAAAGGAAAGAGCATTAGTAGAAAAACTGGTGAAATCAGAGTAGGGTCTACAGGTCTTTTTTTCTTTCTTTTTTTAAAAAAATTGATTTGGGAGAGAGAGAGAGAGAAACATCGATTCACTGCTCCACCCATCCATGCATTCATTGGTTGTTTCTTGTACATGCCCTGACCCGGCATCGAACCCACAACCTTGACATATCAGGACAATGCTCTAATTAACTGAGCTACCAGGCCAGGGCAAGGTCTATAGTTAGTAATAGTATGCTAATGTTAATTTCTTAGTTTTGACAGTACTATGGTTATAGAAGATGTTAATATCAAGAAAACCTGAGCGATATGGGAACTTCCTTTACTATCTTTGCAACTTTTCTATAAATCTAAAATTATTCCAAAATAAGATGTTTGTTAAAATAAAATATTAAGAGCTCACATTTTTGAATGCCTGCTGTGTCAGATATTACTTTATATATGCTATATCCTTTCACCACAACCCTCTGAGGAAGAAATTAATACCCCTATTTGTCTAGAGTTTGCAGTTAGCATGTGACATGTGATAGGCTCCAGTTATCAGAGAGATTTATTCAAAATATATTTATTAAGCATCACTCTGTTTCAGTCAAGCTACAAAGTGTTGAGCAAGATCTAGACATAGTCCCTGCCCTTACTGAGCTTAGAACCCCCACCCCACCAAAAAAAAAGAAAAGGTGTGTGGTAAGTACAGTGTTTGACCCAGAGGAATAGATCGATTTAGTTCTAGTGAGAAGTTTATGCTGTGTAAAGTGATATAAGTTTATTGGAACAGAAGACTTGTATGTGACTAAATCACTATTCTGTTTCCAGAGAACATCAGATGAGGGAGGAAAAGTTGACAAGAACATTAAACAATGGCATCAGGTTATGGAGTGGGGAGGATAGTGAAATATGAGCACAAGGGAATGGTGTCTTATTCCTTTCTTTGTATTCTCAGTGTGTGGCCCATAAGTTGATGTTCAATGAATAGAGCACATGTTTAGTTTTCATTTTTTCTGAAGGTAAGGCAATGGACTATATCACCTCAAAAAGCCCCTCTGAGTTTTGGAATTTCTAGTATTCCAGGGAATGATATAGAAGTAATTGGCTTTCATATGGAGAAAAAAAGTAACATATGAAAAGTGATAAGCAGGAGTAATATTAGAAACTTTCAAACCTTGTGTCCAGATTAATTATAAACATCTTTCCCTGGGAAATTTGCTTTATTTTTGTCATAGAAAAGGTTTCTTTTTTCACGAGGTTAGGACTGTAAACTTTAGTGGGTATTTTATATAAAAATAATACATGACATATAAACAGAATTTATAGCTTAATAAAAGTGAATTGCTTTCTATTGTATTTTGAATTCATATCAGTAAAGCACATATATGTAGTTTTAATTTTCTATTTACTTTTTCTAATAGTTCTCTAGCCATACAGTGCTCTAACATACTGGATTTAAAAACACGTTAGCTGCCCTGGCTGGTTTGGTTCAGCGGTTAGAGCATCGGCCTGCGGTCCAGAGAGACCTGGGTTTGGTTCCCGCTAAGGGCACGTACCTGGGTTGCATTTTGTCCCCCACTCGGTGTGTCCCTTTCACTTCGATGTTTCTCTCTCTCTCTCCCTCCCACTCTATCTGAACAAAAAATGGAAAAATGTCCTCAAGTGAGGATTAAAAAAAAAAAACCATGTTAGCTGTGGCTGGGCCTGTGTTAATAGATTATGTTTTAATGGAGGTCTTATTTTTATTTTACATTTACTCATGCAGTAAATACTAATCTTTACATTTCATTTAAGAAGAATGTTTGTTAATAATGAAGTCATGGCAATTTATAAAATCTAACGAAACGTAAGATGTTTCTAATAATACTATTTTAAGAATTTATTTTATTATTGGATCTTTAGCATCAAAATTCAAGGATCTATTTTTATAATTTGTGAGAAGAAAAATCTGAGGCCGTGTTGGGATGTTTTAATATTTTGTGATAGTTTTAGAGGAATTTAAATGGACTTGGAAGAAAGATAGAGTAAGGATAGTTTAAATTTTTAGATCACAGTCACTGAGGCCAAATGCTAATGGCAAGTGGAAGTAAATTATTTCTGGTATACTAGAAAGTAGGGAATTCTTTTGGATTTATTTAAAGAAACAAGATACTATTTTTAAAAAAAACAGCTTTATTGAAGTAGGATGGACACACATTAAACTGTACATATTTAAAGTGTGCAGTTTAAGTTTTGACATATATGTATATATACCTGTGAAATCCTCACCACAATCAGAGTAAAGAACAATTTCATCATCTCCATACATTTCTCATTTCCCTTTATATTCTCTCCTTTTGCACCTCCTTGTTCAACACCCCCCCCCAAGTTTCTCTAGGCAATCAGATATGCTTTTTGTAACTATAGATTAATTTGTATGTTCTCTAATTTTATGCAGTTTGTTCTTTCTTTTGTCTGGGTTTTTTCCATTCAGCCTAATTATTGTGAGATATGTACATGTTGTGTATACCAATCGTTAATTCTTTTTATTACAGAATAGTATTTCATTGTATGGTTGTGCCACAGTTTGTTCACCTCTTCACATGTTGATGGATATTTGGGTTGTTTCCTGTTTTGTTTTTTAAATTATAAATAAAGCTACTAAGAACATTCCTGTACAAGTCTTCATATAAATGTATGCTTTCATTTCTTGTGGGTAAATACTTAGGAGTGGAATGGCTGAATTCATAAGTGAATTATTGTGTATGGTGAAACATGGATTGAAGTTCCATTTGACTACATATAGATCACCAGTGTTTTTTTCCTGCACCAGTTGTTGAAAAGACTATCCTTTCTCTACTGAACTGCCTTTGTACCTTTGCCAAAAATTAATCACCTGTGTATGTGTGGGTCTATTTCTGTACTCTCTTCTGCACTATTGATCTATTTGTCTCTTCTTATGCCAATATGACTCTGTCTTATATATTGTAGCTTTACAATAAGTCTTGAAATCAGGTAATATTAGTCTTCCAACTTTGTTTTGACTATTCTAGGTCCTTTTTATACATGTGAATTTTAGAATCAGCTATCAAAAACAAAACAAAACTTTCTAGGTTTGTCATTAGGATTCCATTGAAACTAAAGTTCAGTTTGGGGATAATATTCATCTTTATTGAGTCTTTTAACCCATAAATGTATTACAGCTTTCCATTTATTTAGGCTTTATTTTTTTTACCCCCTCAGCATTATTTGCTAGTTTTCAGGGTACATGTCTTTCATATCTTTTGTCAGATTTATCCAAGTATTTCATATTTTATGCTGCTACTGTAAATGGTATTTAAAATTTTTTAATTTCCAATTATTTGCTACTAGTTATGAAAATGTATATTTTTGTATATTGATCTTGCATCTTACAACTTTATTAAGCTCACTTATTCTAGTAGCTCTTTGTGTTTCATAGGATTTTACTACATAGATGATGGGCATATGTTTTTTTTTTTTATCCTCACGCGAGGACATTTTTCCATTTTTTGTTCAGACAGAGTGGGAGGGAGAGAGAGAGTGAGAGAGAAAAACATCGATGTGAAAGGGACACATCGAATGGCTGCCACCCACACGACCAGCCAGGGCCGGGGACAAACTGCAACCGAGGTACGTGCCCTTAGCGGGAACTGAACCCGGGTCTCTCCGGACCGCAGGCTGACGCTTTAACCGCTGAGCCAAACTGGCCAGGGCTAAAATTCAAATTGAGCTAGCCATATTGACTGAATAAAATAATATTTCCTGGGTAGTATTTAGTACTAGATTAGCTTAAGAATAATTTTTGTGTTTATGTCTTTATTTTAAGTAAACAAATAAAAGATTTTTTTTTCAATCTAACTGCGTCTTTTCCAGATCAGGTTTTCACCGGTAGCTAAAAAGTTGTTTGTGGTAACTGCAGTGACTGCCGTATCTGTAATTTTTCTGGCTCATCACTTTAAAAGAAGACGTGGGAAGAAGAAAGAAAAAATATTGCCATGGGAACCAGAGCACCTCATACTTGAATACACAAAAAGAGCAGCATCAGACAAAGGTATGTAGAAATAGCTGAATTAAGTCTACAAAATAAATTTTACATGTAAATCATAACTGGAATGCAGTGATTTCAGTGGTTTAGTCTCCAAAATGTTCTTCCTTAATATTTAACTTGCCAGTAATACAGATTAATTTTAGAAAAATTAGAAAATTCAGATGAGCAAACAGAAACAATGAAAATCACTGGAAACTTTGCTACTCCAGAAAAAACTACTGTTAATATTTTGCTGTATATCGATCCATTTATATTTCCATTTCAAAATCATATTGAGACATACAATTTTATCCAGTAGTCTCCCCTGTCCATGGTTTTACTTTCTGTGGTTTCTGTTACCTACAGTCTACCATCAGAAAACATTAAATGGAAAGTTCCAGAAATAAACAATTCATGTTTTAAGTTGTATGCCAATTTGAGTAGTGTGATGAAATCTCATGCTGTCCTGCTTCATCCAGCGGGGGACAGAATCGTCTGTCCGGCACACCCACGCTGTATCCACTACCAAAATGCCCATTAATCACTTGGCAGCCATCTCAGTTATCATACTGACTGTTACAGTATCACTGTGCTTGTGCTCAGTTAACCCTTATTTTACTTAATAATGGTCCCAACACACAAGAATAATAATGATGCTGACAATTTGGATATGCCAAAGAGAAATCATAAAGTATGTATGTATAGGTAAAAACAGTATATGTCGGGTTCAGTACTCTTCATGGTTCTAGCCATCCACTGGGTGCCTGGGAATGTATTTCTGGCAGACAAGGGGGGGACTACTGTATTATGTTCAAGAAAATGATTTATATATTTTAGGTAAAATTTTGATAAAGACTTTTTGTAATATGATCTTAAAATATTTAATAATATGTAAGAATGTTCTTCCAGGTCAGTAAATCTATCTCTATGCTATAATTTTCATTTTTAACATTTTATTAATTTTCAGTTTTATTGAAAATAATTTGACACGTGTGCTTTCATTTTTAATATGTATTTAATGTTAAATTTGTACAAATAAACCCTAATTTATTTAGTTTCCTTTGGGATGTTTTTTTTGCTTTTCATGTACTTGTCTATTTCCTTAGTATATAAAGTTCTAGAAGTAGAATACCTTTAAAGCATATGTAGGTTTTTTTTTTTTTAGTGATGTAGTATGTATTGCTAAATTGTATCAAAATAATTTCTTGAGCATGCTAGATTTCTTCTTTATTTTAAATTAGTTTTAAATTTATGACTTAGTATATGATATGTTTTTGTGATTCATTTGCACAGCAAATAATTAACAAATGGCTATTTTGTATCAAGTACAGTGAACATTGCAACAATAATGATGGCTCCTACTAAGATTTTATTAGATTTCAGCTGCAGTGCTAAATGCTATATATTCACTGTCTTAGTTAACCTTTATAGCAATCCTATGAATTAGGACTATAATTTATGTTATTGTTCCCATTTTATACATACAGAAAATTGAGATATGAAAAAGGTAAATGAAATGTTCAAGTTCATGTAACTAATAAATGGCCAACATTTGAATCAAAGAGTGACTTAATTGCTGTATTTAGATAAACTAAAACACAACATCTTCCCTAGATGAATGGATAGATAGTTAAGGAGACAGATGTGTAAAAAAATAATTACAATATAATGTGACATGAATAAGGTTTTGATGCAGTTCAGGAAAGAAAGTATTTATATTGTTCATTTTATAATTTAAAAGTTCATAGTTGGCGGTATATATATTTTTTAATCCTCACCCGAAGATATGTTTTTATTGATTTTTTTTATGAGAGAGAGGAAGGAGGAGAGGGAGAGAAACATCGATCAGTTGCCTCATGTATACACCCCGACTGGGTATGCAACCTAGGTATGTGCCCTGACTGGGAATCAAACCTGTAACCTTCTACTATACAGGGTGACGCTCCAACCAACTGAGCTACCTGGCCAGGGAGGTTCATACTTGTCAATATTTTTATAAAAATTATAATAGACCATCAAATACCACCCTGATTAATTAGATGAATGTTTTATTCTTCATTTCAGAAGCAGATTTTAGTAGTATTAAAAGCATTGTATAGAGATGTAGATTTTAATAATGGTGTACATTTAATAATTTACACAATTGAGTGAAATGCATTTTAAAATCAGCTTTCTGGATGAATATAACATAAACTTTGAGATTTTACCTGAAATTTATCATTGGACTTATTGCTGCTTGTAATATTTATGTTTGTTTGGTAGGTTCAAGTTGTTCCAGTAGTAGACAGAATTTGACATTGTCTTTAAGTTCTGTCAAAGACAAAGGATCTCAGTCTTGTAACTATGCCAATGGAGGACTTTTCAGTAAATACTCAGGTTCTGCACAGAGTTTGGCCTCTGTAAGTAAAGAAGAACATTTATTATTCTTTTAAGTGTATTTGTCTATTGTTATCTATTGGTTTAAATGTTATACAATTATAGGTAGCTCTTAATATGGAAAGAACCTTAAATCAGATTGAGCCTATTTTCTTCAGGCAAGTAAAATGATCCTTTTGCTAAATATTCAGCCAGTTTGCTTCCAGGCTTTTTGACTAAGTGATGTGGTCCCTGGGGGTCCTATGATAATGGTGGTGATATGGAAATGTTGCTTCAAAGCTACGTGTTCTGCAAAAAGCTGGAAGATACATCCAGACTTTTTACTGGGTCATAAAACTCACTTGATGAGCCTACTTAGGTAAAAACGTTGCTGAAGCCAAGTATGGAGTTCCTCACCTCTGTCTGGAGCATTAATATAGTATGATTGACAAGTGAAGAATGAAGTTACTATTTGTTTAAATGTAGTAGTTTAAAAATAATTTAAAAAAACAGGTAGAATATGCACTTGCAACTGATAAAGAAGCAAGAAATGTACAGTGAAAGCTGTGTTACTGATCCTCCCCTCTTCCCTCCTTGGGACAAACATTGACTGTTTCTTATGTATATTCTTCAGGGAGTGCATGTCTCTACCATCATGTATATTCATTTTTTAAAAAATTTATAGAATGCTGTATTTTGTTCTGTACCTTCTATATTGTATTTTGTTGGAATACATAGCTGCCCCATTCTTAAATGCCTAAAAATATAGTACATTTTTAAAGGCACTCTATGGTGGGAACAACTAGATCAAGGGCCTGCAGGCTTTCAATTCCTCTGTGAAACTGAGCAGGATAATGAAGTATATGGCCATTCTCTGTGTCAGAGAAGTGCCTCTGTTCTGAATTTTCTCAATCGAAAGTTGAAGCTGTTCTTGAGAAGAAAAGAAGGTGGAAAAAAGGGAGTTTCATGATACCATTGTGAGTAACGAGTCTTTAGAATCACCTTACTATACTTGCCTCAGCTGACCTAGTGAGGCCGCTGTCAGGTCTGTGAACCCTGATTTCTGCCCTTTAGTGAATGTCACCTGAATGAGGGTCATGACAACAGGAGTGGAACGGAGGGGACAGGGTCTACAAAACTTGGTAGTGGATATGAGAGGTGTGGGAAGAGAAGTTAAAGGTGACTTTTTGTTTTCTAGTTTGAGAAATCATGGGCATGGACGTTTGTACTATTGGTAAACTTGGGAGGGAGAAGAGCTTTTGTTGTGCTTTTTTGATATAGTCTGTTTGAGATGCCAGCAGCAGAGCTAAGTGGAGTTACCAGGTAGGCAGAAGGGAATGTGAGGTTAGAGTTCTCACAACAGGACAGCACTGGGGTTACAGACTTGGGAGTTACCTGCACAGAGGTGACTGAAATGATGGGCTCAGTGGACCTTGTTAGAGAAGGGGAGATGATAGAGGCTTTTAAATTTTAGTTACCAATGACCAGGGAATGAGCACTGTGATACATTTAAAAGGAAAGTAAGCTAGTGTAAAAAATAATGTAAACTGAGCCACTTTAAAATGGAATCAGAGCTGCCATCCCAGAAAACTGCCTTCCAAGTCTTATTCCTCAAACCTTTGGAATGTTAAACCAGGGTAAAATAACTCTGTACTAGGTCTAAAGCAGCATCGTACCCCAAATAATTGTAAGGATAACAAGAAATCAGATATTCTATGACTACCAGACTGGTGACTGCCAGATTGAAAAGTAAAAACATTCTTTAGAATTAACGTCACTATGTTAGTTTATCTGCACTTGCAGAAATGCCTTCCTTCACTGAGTAATGGCCCTCTTTTCTTTCTCATACGTACCCCGGGCCTTTCTTTCCTGCTCAGAACAACTGTTGGGACTTCTGCCTGAATCAGTGCTGCCGGCGTAGCTATTCCTATGGTTCTCAAATAAATGCTTGTTGCCTCTCTCTTTAGCCTTTTATTTTTGGGTTAATGCTAGTTACCCCAAATCAAAGTAGGTGTGGAAAAAATTTATAAGTAGATATGTAATTAAACAGTAAACTATAAAAATCTGCTCGATTTTTTTTATTTATGGAAATAACTGATTTATGTTCAAAATATTGTTCTGCTTCTGTATTTTTGTACAAATAAAGACTTAGAATTTTTAGGGTCTTATGACTCCTAAATTTGATGAAATATAATCAGATTTATTTCTTCAGGTAGAAATAACATGGATTGTTTTACCAGGAATAGGATTTATATAAATAATTTATAACTATGAAAGGTCACAAAATACTAAAAAAAAAAAAAAAAAAGACAGATTTTGAAGTAACTTTTGTGCATCTTAATTTTAGGTCCAGAGTGTCAATTCTTGTCATAGCTGTGCTTGTGGCAATTCTAATTCCTGGGACAAAGCAGATGAAGATGATATTAAACTTGTTAATATTCCTGTGACTACTCCTGAGAACTTATACTTGATGGGTAGGAATAACATAATAAAGTTTTAAGATATTATACTCACATTTAATGAGAAACTAAAGAACTATGAATTGTTCTGAGGGAAACAAATATAACTTAAAAATGTTCTTGTATCTGTGGAATCTAATGTATATAACACAACTTTTTGTATTAGTTTCCTGAGGGTGCTGTAACAAATTGCCCCTTGGTGGTTTAAAACAGCAAACATTTATTCTGAGAGTTCTGGAGGCAAGAAGTCTGAAATCTTTATCATTGGGTTGAAATCAAGGTGTCATTAGGGCCATGCTCCCTCTGGAGGCTTAGGAAGGAATCTGTTTCTTGACTCTTCCAGCTTCTAGTGACTTCTGGCTTGTGGCCTCCTGATTTCAGTTTTTGCCTTTCTCTTCATTTAACCTTCACCTCTGTGTATATCAAATCTCCCTCTGCCTCTCTCTGACAAGTTATGAGTGAATTTAGAGCCCACCAAGTAATCTGTTTCCTTATGTTAAGATGCTTTAATTTAGCCCTGGACAGTTTGGCTCAGAGGTCAGAGCGTCAGCCTGTGGTCCAGAGAGGCCTGGGTTCGGTTCCCGCTAAGGGCATGTACCTCGGTTGCAGTTTGTCCCCGGCCGTGGTTGGGTTGTGTGGGAGGCAGCCACTCCATGTGTCCCTTTCATGTCGATGTTTTTTTTCTCTCTCTCTCTCTTCTCTCTCCCTCCCACTGTGTCTGAATAAAATATGGAAAAATGTCCTCAGGTGAGGATTAAAAAAAAAAAGAAAAAAAGATTCTTTAATTTAATCACATCTGCAAAGACCCCTTTTCCTTGTAAGATAACATTTATAAGTTCCAGAGACTAGGATCTGATGTCTTTGGGTGGCCATTATTCAGTCTATTACACTACCAAACTCAATCTGTTGACTCTTATTTAATGAATCTACCAGAACCCACTTTACTTACTCTGTTTTATCTAGCTATCATTTGCTTTCTTCTTATATTCAGAGAAGATTTTAAATAGAAAGAGGCCTGTGTTTTAAATCTCAGTATTCCTCTTGGCTTGACCATGAGCATGTCTAGAATGTTCCACTGGAAATCAGAAAAAGAACCAGAGAACGTAACACCGAGTCAGATCAAATACTTTTTCAAATGCTTTTCACTGTTCTTCTCTATTCTAGTTTAGGCTATATTCCTTTTAATGAAAGGAAATTCATATTAATTAAAAAACAAAACCCCAAAACTTTGATGTAGCCCCTAGCCAATGAGAAGTAAAGGAGATGATGACTTGGCAGAAGAATTGTGTGCCTCTGAATGCATTCCCACAGTCTAGAGTAGTTGGGGACGAATCATCTCTAGGGGTGTCACAGTAGGTACTCCTGCCCATGGGGAAAGATGTAAGAGTAGTTCTTTTGCCACCTTTTCCAAAGGTCTTCAAAGAATTAAGATCACTATGCTTCTAGGTTACTCTGATTATGTCTAGTAAACCTACCTCACAGCTGCTGTTGGGATAGTGTAGAGAAATGGAGCAAAACTAGCGAAGCTACTAGGAGTCTGAGTATCACAGAATCAGGATTCGTAAGAGCCCTATGGATCACCCGGTCACCCACCTATTGTTTCAGTTCCCTTTATGAGACTGATGACATATAAAAAGATTGGTGACATATGTTTGAATTTCTGTTACACAACTGATGATATGTGACCATTGTTCCTCAGTGAGGTAAGACCCCATACTTCCCAAGAGATGACTGCTGTTAGATAATTCTTCTTTATGTTTAGCCAAAATAATCAGATGGATAGAGAGTGGATGGAGTGAGGAAAGGCTGAAGAATTAGAATTGTATAGTTTGGAGAAACGAGAGTAGATAGTGATATATAGTCATTGTCTTTTAAGTGCTTAAATTTTTTAGAAGGATGATCTAGGTAGCGATTCTTTGCTACAAAAATAAAACAGGAAGGAAAGACCTAAATTGCATTTGAAGATCATTTTAGTTTTTTAGAGTTGTAGGTTCTCTAGGTAATTGAAGAAATTATTTTTTGTTTGTTTGTTAATCCTCACCTGAGGACATTTATTCATGGATTTTTTAGAAAGAGTGAAAGGGAGGGAGGGAGAGACAAAGAGAAGGAGAAACATCGATGTGAGAGAGACACATCGATTTGTTTGCTTCCTGCATGACCCCATCAGGAGTAGTTATTGAACCAGCAACCCAAGTATGTGCCCTTAACTGCCCGTGACCCTTTGGTCTGAGGGCCAATGCTCTAACTGCTGAGCCAAACTGACCAGGGCTGAAGAAATGATTTTAGAGGAGAGGTATTCTTTACCTATCATATCTTAGGAACATCTTGAGAACAACTTGCCCAGATTCTTAAGCAGCTTTTAAAGATATTTTTCTGTTATATGTCTAGGAAAATTAAAGTTTTAAAATATTTTTGTTTTGGTAAGCCTTTTTTAAAACATAATCCAACCACTGATCAGTAAGGCTTTTATTTATTTATTTTATTTGTAGAAAAAGAGGCGCATACATATTCCCCTACTTTTCCACATCAGCAGGGATATGAAATTTCAACTTGAACTATTCTTTATGGGTTCTCACCATAGTGCTGTAGATTTTTAACTCTGGCTCAGCAATTTATTCACCTAGATCAGCAAGTTGGTATCTTACTCATTTAAGACACCTTTCAGCCTAGCCCGTGTGACTCAGTGGTTGAGCATCGACCCATGCACCAAGAGGTCACCAGTTCAATTCCCGGTCAGGACACATGCCCAGGTTGTGGGCCAGATCCCCAGTGGGGGGCATGCAGGAGGCGGCCAATCAATGTTCTCTCTCATTGATGTTTCTGTCTCCCTCTCCTTCTCCCTTCTTCTCTCTCTAAAATCAATAAAGAAAAAAATATAGCCCTGGCTGGTTTTGCTCAGCGGTTGGAGCGTTGGCCTGCGGTACAGAGAGACCCGGGTTCGGTTCCCGCTAAGGGCACGTACCTCGGTTGCAGTTTGTCCCCAGCCCTGGTTGGTCGTGGGGGTGGCAGCCACTAGATGTGTCCCTTTCACATCAATGTTTCTCTCTCTCTCTCTCTTCCTCCCGCTCTATCTGAACAAAAAATGGAAAAATGTCCTCGGGTGAGGATAAAAAATAAAATAAAAAATAAAAATAAAAAAATATATTTAAAAAAAAAAAAAGACACTTTTCAGTGGGAAAAAAGAGAAGACTATATTCTAGACTTCTATGCTATTATCTTTTCCCTTAGCTTTATTCTTTCCTTTGGAGAACCTTTATAAACCTGATGGATTATCAACTAGTTTCTTCCTTTACCTATCAGTTTCCATTTTAACATAGGGGGTTTGGAAAGATAGTTGTGTGACTATAAACATTAGCCATTATTGTTGGACTTTTATTTATTTATTTATTTATTTATTTAATTTATTGATTTTACAGAGAGAGGAAGGGAGAGGGAAAGAGAGATAGAAACATCAATGAGAGAGAACATTGATTGGCCACCTCCTGCGTGTCCCCCCACTGGGAATTTGGCCCACAACCTGGGCATGTACCCTGATCAGGAATAGAACCAGTGACCTCTTGGTGCATGGGTCAGCGCTCAACCACTGAGCCACACTGGCTGGGGTATTGTTCGACTTTTGATGAATTTATGATACTGTTCTGGAAAAATTCCAAGCAACATATACATTTAAATTACATTTTTTTAAAAACAGAAACATTAGTCATTGTTCTCTGATTTTAGGTTGACTGTGACTACTGGAATACATTGGGAAATTAAGATTATACTTTGAAATGTGAGCATAAAATTGTTTTTTAGTGCTGAAATTAACATTTAGACTCTGTTTGCCACTGATGATAATGGTATGAAAAATACTTCACACCCCAAATGATTTTATTTTGGCATTGGTTTTGCTTACTTAGTGTTGTTCTGTGCTTAATTTTTAGGTATGGAATTGTTTGAAGAGGCACTGCGTCGATGGGAACAAGCTCTAACCTTCCGAAATAGACAGGCTGAAGATGAAGCCTGTGGTTCCATTAAACTGGGTGCAGGAGATGCCATTGCTGAAGAAAGTGTAGATGTAAGATAAGGGTGATTTATTTGACTGTAGTCTTCATAGTATTGGAGGAATCAAACTATGTTTTATTTTATTTATTTTTTCTCCTTCCCAAGGACTTTTTTTTTTTTTTCATTTATCGTCAGACAGAGTGGAAAGGAGAGAGGGAGGAAGAGAGAGAGAGAAACATCCACGTGAGAGACACATCAAGTGGTTGCCACCCACACGACCCCAACAAGGGCCAGGGACAAACTGCAACTGAGATACGTGCCCTTTAGCGGGAACCGAACCTGGGCCTCTCGGGTCCACGGGCTGACGCTCTAACTGCTGAGCCAAACCGGCCAGTGCACAAACTATTTTTAATGTTGATTCAGTGTACTTGCTTTCTAGGGCATTTACTAGAAACCTTATTTTCTCCCTTGGGATTTTTGGAGGCTATTTCTTTTTATTTTTATTTTTATCCTCACCCGAGGACATTTTTCCATTTTTTGTTCAGGTAGAGTGGGAGGGAGAGAGAGGAACAGAGAGAGAGAGAGGGAAACATCGACGTGAAGGGACACATGGAGTGGCTGCCACCCGCACAACCAACCAGGGCCGGGGACAAACTGCAACCAAAGTACGTGCCCTTAGCGGGAACCGAACCCGGGTCTCTCAGGACCGCAGGCCGACGCTCTAACCGCTGAGCCAAACCGGCCAGGGCTGGAGGCTATTTCTTATTGGGCTTTTTTTGTTTAGTTAGTTGTTAAATTCCAAATTTGCAGTTTATCATCAAGTTTCCTGATTTTCTAAGAATGTATAAAACTAAGCAGTTTGATTTCTAAAGGAATTTTTAAAAGTCTGTGTTGTGTTTTGGGTTTAATTAAGTCCATTGTATTCATAGAAATCACACAGTTAGAGCTGTGATGCTCAAATTTGGGCATGTATCATAATCATCTGAAAGGCTTGTTAAAACAGACTTGAGGACCCCACCCCCAGGGTTTTAATTCAGTGGGGCTGGGGTAGGTCTTGAGAATTTGCATTTCTAACAAGTTCCCAGATAATATGGATGCTGCCGGTCCAGGGACCTTACTTTGAGAATCCCTGATCCTAGTCCAACTCAATTTCACTGGTAAAAAAAACTGAAACCCTGAGAACTGAGCCGGTTTCGCCAGAGACACAGCTAGAGCCCAGGCCTCCTGACTTCTGTTACAGTACTCTCACCACCCAACAGTCGTTTTTATATCCCTCACTGCGCTGCCTTTCATTTTAAAATGCAGAATGTTTCGAAGTTTAACATTAGAATATCATTTGGCTGTGTATACTCTTTCTCTCTCTGTAGGATATTATTAGTACTGAATTTATCCATAAACTTGAAGCTCTGCTGCAAAGAGCCTATCGTCTCCAAGAGGAGTTTGAAGCCACCCTGGGGGCATCCGATCCTAATTCTCTTGCAAATGATGTTGGTAAGATGGGTAGCTCACATGGTTTTTGTGAAATGTGTGATTTTCTTTTTTTTACGTTCTTGTAATCATTTAAGTGGTTATATATTTTCTATGAAATAGTAAAAAGCAAAAATGTCCTATCATATTTATTGGGTTTTTTCTTTAGTTTTATTTTTCAAGTGAACTTAATACCTTTAAGATATAAATTCAAGCCCTGGCTGGTGTGGCTCAGTTGGTTGGAGCGTCATCCTGTGCACCAGAAGGTCATGGGTTCGATTCCTGGTCAGGGCACATATCTAGGTTGAGGGTTTGATCCCTGGTGGGGGTGCATATGGGAGGCAACCGATCGATGTATTTCACATAGATGTTTCTTTCTCTCTCTCTCTCTCTCCCCCTTTTTCCCTCTCTAAAATCAATAATAAAAAAAGATATAAATTCAAGTACTTACAGTAGATAGGACTGTGACACTATTTTGAAATTACATCCTAAGTGAAAGAATCCCAGTTAAAGTGCTAGAGGGAGGAAAAAAAATAATATAAAAATGAAACATAAACACACCACCTCAGAAAGGTGCATGTAATTCATGGCACACCTTTAAGATATTTTAAGTCATTCTATTTCTTGAACTCCATTTTAATTGCAGGCTAGATTTTGATGTAAGTAGTCATTACATACATTATTATATACCATTGCCTTTGCTTCCTATTTTATTTTATTTATTTATTTTTTTATCCTCACCTGAGGACATTTTTCCATTTTTTGTTCGTATAGAGCGGGAGGGAGAGAGAGGAAGAGAGAGAGAGAGAGAAACATCGATGTGAAGGGACACATCGAGTGGCTGCCACCCGCACAACCAACCAGGGCCAGGGACAAACTGCAACTGAGGTACATGCCCTTAGCGGGAACCGAACCCGGGTCTCTCTGTACCGCAGGTCGATGCTCCAACCGCTGAGCCAAACCGGCCAGGGCTGCTTCCTATTTTAAAGAGAAAAGAACTTTGAAGAGACTTCTTAAGTGAAGTCTTCCAAGGAATGATTAAAATTGCTTCTGCCTTGGCTGGTTTTCTCAGTGGTTACAGCATTGCCCTGTGGACCAGAGACACCTGGGTTTGGTTCCCGCTAGGGGCACGTACCTCTGTTGCAGTTTGTCCCCGGTCCCGGTTTGGGTCGTGTGGGTGGCAACCAGTCAGTGTGTCTCTCTTGTATCAATGTTTTTCTCTCTCTCTTCCTCCCTCTCTCCCTCATGCTCTATCTGAAGATAAATGCAGAATGAAATAAAACAAAATTATGTCACATCTCTTTTTTAAAAAAGTACTTGAGTCTTTTTATTGAGGATTGTTGTTTTCTAGTAAAAAAAAAAAAAGTTAAGGAATGTTAAGTTTTTCCACATTCATTTCTGAACATAAAGTACTGAAAGTGCCTGCAGTTTGAATTGTTTACGTGTCTATATATTTTGATTTTAGGTAAAAGATTTCATTTGTACATGCATAGGGCAAGGTAGGGGGAATGGGCATAGAGTTTTCATGCCCTCTCCATACCACCCTCCCAGCACCTGGAGGTGTTCACCAACCTGGAAGCTCTCTGAACTCTGTAGTTTAGCATTTTTATGGAGGCTTCACTATGTAGGCACGGTTGAGTAAATCATTGGCCATTGGTGATTAACTTAATCTCTGGCTCTACTCCCCTCTGGGGTCAGGATTGGAGCTTAAGATTCCAACCTTTTTTTTTTTTTTTAATGTTTTTCTTTATTGATTTCAGAGCGAGAGGAAGTGAGAGGGAGAGAGAGAGATAGAAACATCGATGAGAGAGAACATCAATTGGCCGCCTCCTGCATGCCCTCCTATGGGGATCTGGCCCACAACCTGGGCATGTGTCCTGACTGGGAATCGAACCGGTGACCTCTTGGTGCACGGGTCGACGCTCAACCATTGAGCCACACCAGCTGGACAAGAGTCCAACCTTTTAATCACATGGTTGGTTCCCTTGGCCATCATCTCCCACCCTCCAAGAGTCACCTGATTAGCTTAAACTCAGGTATAGTTAAATACTAAATACTAAAAGATGCTCCTGTCACCCTTATCACTCAAGAAATTTCAAGGATTTTAGGAGCTCTCTGTGGGTAAATTGATAATTATATATTACTTATTATATCACAGCATTATGTCTAGAAGTGGGTGGAGCCAGCATCTGATACGTGAGGCAGGATACGTTCAAGTTACCTTAGGTACCAAAATCATTATTTAAATATAAAATTTAAAAAAAAATTTAAAGTACAGCCTGGACGGTGTTGCTCAGTGGTTGAGTGTCAACCCATGAACCAAGAGGTCACAGGTTCGATTCCCGTTCAGGGCACATGCCCAGGCTGTGGGCCAAATCCCCAGTGGGGGGCATGCAGGAGGCGGCCAGTTGATGTTCTCTCTCATCAATGTTTCTATCTATCTGTCCCTCTCCGTTCCTCTCTCTTTAAAATCAATAAAGAAAAAAATAAATGTAGAAAATTTTTTAAAAATTACATTTGACAACAATATTATATTAGTTTCACCAAGAATTATTAGGACACTATTATTCAACCAGCTATATATTCAGCTGATTCTACTTACATATTTTTTACCTTGATCACAAAGTTATCTTGGGATATTTGATTACATATCATACTAAAATGTATGTGTATTTATCTCCTTAACCTAGTAATTCAGGAAAATGTAAAAATTCTTTTGAAAAAGAGGTTAATATCAATTCACATTTTATTTGGAAATATTGCCAATGCTGAGCGTTTTTATTGGTAGGTCTTTGCCCTAAATTTTCATAGCTGGTTTTATACTCCCTTGCAAATCATCTTAGTTTTGGAATGCACATGTGTCAGGTTTTATTGACAATAGTAGATCCTCAGCAAAACTGATTTCATTAATTTGGAATTCAAAATATAAACAGTACAGGCCGTTTCGATCCTGGGTTGGGCACATACAAGAATCAACCAATGAATGCGTAAATATGTGGAACAACAAATCGATGTTTCTCTCTCTCTCTCTCTCTCTCTCAAATCAATCAATAAAATAATTTTTAAAATGTATGAACAGTATTTAATTTTACATTTGTATTATGTATAGTAGAGTAGCTTGCCAAATTACATCGTGGACAAGATAATAGGACAGTTTAAAATCCTCCTCATCATGATTCTTTTAATATGTTGAAAATAGTCAGCATTGAGAGGATAACAGTACCATTCCTGGGCTAGCAACTCTAACCAGGAAAGTAAGACTTGACAGTGATGTTTAATGTGGGTCCTCCCTCGCTCATCTAAACCCAGGAGAGGGAACCACAAACAGCAGAACACCAACACCCACAGGAAAAACTTGACAGGCTCCAAAGCCCACTGTGATAACCAAATGGTGAAACACAGAAACAAAAGCCAAATGAAAGAACAAGACACCTCCACCAAAGATGAGATCAATGTGGAGCAATTAGGCAAGTTAACGAATATAATGAACATAACAGTCTGAGGAATACAGTAGACCCAGAAACATGGAAGTAGGGTACAGACTGACAACCCTCAGAAGAAGGGGTGGTGGAGGTGGGAAGAGAGAAACTACAGAACTTACATGCATATGTGCATAATCAATGGACATGGACAACAAAGCCGGGGGACAGGGTGAGGGGGATGGGGATGGGGGTGCCCTGGGGTAAAAAAGGAGAAACATCTGTAACAAAAATAAAATTAAAAAATTTTAAATAAATTTTTAAATTTATTAATTAAAAATAAATAAATAAATTACCAGAAAAAAAAAAGAAATTATGAAGCATGAATGAGTAAACTCAGAAGGTGATTCTAGTCTCAAAGCATAGGTTTTAATGGAATGGCACAATGTATCTAACATATTTAGTCTTCTTCAAAAAATAGACTTTCAAAATAAAATCCATGGCAAATGTGTAATAAATAAATAAATAAAAATAATAAAATAGCATTTTTTTTTTTAGATAACAATGTGTTTATTGAAGGAGAATATATCTATTCTTTAAAAAAAAAAAAAAACAGAGCTTGCCCAGCCAGTGTGGCTCAGTGGTTGAGTATCGACCCATTCATCAAGAAGTCACCAGTTCTATTCCTGGTCAGGGTACATGCCCAGGTTGTGGGCCTGATTTCCAGTGGGGGATATGCAGGTGGCCAATCGATGTTCTCTCTCATCAATGTTTCTGTCTCTCTCTCACTCTTCCTTTCTCTCTTTCTCAGAATCAATAAAAAGAAAAAAAAAGAATTCCCCATGGCAATGGGCAGCTTTAAAACAAATAATAACAGAACCTGCCCTGGCTGGTTTGGCTCAGCAGTTAGAGCATTGGCCCATGGACCAAAGAGTTGAGGGATTGATTCTGGTCAAGGGCATGTACCTTAGTTGCAGTTCAGTCCCAGCCCTGGTTGGGGTCATGCGTGCGGGAGGCCTGTCAATGTGTCTATCTCATATTGATGTTTCTCTCTCCTGCTCTCTCTCCCTCCCTCCCTTTCTCTCTCCCACTCTGACTGAAGATAAATGGAAAAAGTATCCTCTGGTGAGGATTTAAAAAAAAAAACAGAGACAAAGAACTTTTGAGTTGTTAAGTATAACAAGTCATTTGGTTACTTTAGATAGGTGAAGTTAATAACAGTTTAAAAATTATATAGTATGATTCTAACACTGAATTATGGTAATGGTTACACAACTCTATACACTTATTAAAACTCATTGAATTTACACTTAATAAAAGGAAATTTTATGGTATGTAAATTATATTTCAATAAAGCTGTTAAAAAACAAAATAAGCCCTGGCCGGTTTGGCTCAGCGGTTAGAGCGTCGACCTGCGGTCCAGAGAGACCCGGGTTCGGTTCCCGCTAAGGGCATGTACCTCGGTTGCAGTTTGTCCCTGGCCCTGGTTGGTTGTGCGGGTGGCAACCACTCGATGTGTCCCTTTCACATTGATGTTTCTCTCTCTCTCTCTGTTCCTCTCTCTCCCTCCCACTCTACCTGAACAAAAAAATGGAAAAATGTCCT